AAAAACTGAAGGGATGTGCAAAACACCGTACTTTGTTGTCAGACTGTGACTTGTCTTCTGTCAATATAATTGGAAGCCGTTATGGTGAAATATGATGACATATGGCCTCATCTGAAACCCAGCTGCTTTATATGTGAGGGAGTATTTACACTTGTACAAGGAAAGTTAATGTTGTGACAATAGGTGCAGCTTACTTATCTCGAGTGCGTGGTTGTCTCGTACCATTGCGTCACTGACAGTGCACACTCGCTGAGTTACCCTGCATTGGAATACTGCACATGCATGTCACTGTGCAGATTAACTCTCGGCGCGTGTGCGAATGTCTACCCCAGGGTGCAGGCCACATGGTGCCCACGGACAACCCCCGCGCAGCCTACACGATGTTCTCACACTTCATACAGAAGCAGCCCTTCTGATTCCAGTGAAAGGCCAGCACCGGCCGCATGCTGCTAGATTTTCCAAGCTGGAACATGTTGCTGCATTTGGGCCTTGATGTTCGAAAGCTTGTCCAATTACTTCCTTAATCTTGATCAATCTTGAATCTGTCATAATAAGTTTCAACTTTAACCGAGCCTTATGCATAATAACCATAATGCATTTTTTTAAATGTCAGAATCATTTCTTATATTTTACTAGGCTCCTGTAATTATGTTCAAACAGATCTGAGTCACTACTGCAGCACTATTTTTGTTTAAGTCTGTACGTACTGCAGGTGTTTTCTGTCAGATGGTATTTTTCACGTGCACTTGTGTGTTGAGCAATGGTCAATAAAATTTCAACTTTGGACAAGTTGTGGATTACCATCCCACCGTGTACATCTTACTTCTAGGTCCACGTGCACCAATTATAATCCTGTGTTGTTTTTGTGAGGACCTGCCAGCTTATGTTGTCTACAAACTACATTCATATCGAAGTGTACTTTAAATATAACCTTGACAATTATACACTTGTGATATGAGGCTAATGTGTCTATAATTCTTAAAAGCATGTCTCCCTTTTGGAATATAATAACGATTGAAGCCTCATTTACTGATAGATGTATTTGTTTTCCGTATTAACATTTCATACATCGGTTGACTAACTTCTTTGTTGACAGGACACAAGTGGAAAACAGCAGAATATATATTTATGATTTGAAGCTTTCGTGACTGCAGGAATCCATACTCTTTGGTTCTTTCGGTAAAGTCACGTAGGTACAAAATAAAATAAATCACGACGTTTTGGGCGCAACACAAGCGTCCGTCAGGTGGGAAAGCATGGTCTGCTGCTGAGGCAGACTGTTGTAAAAGGTTTGAAATGGGTGTAGCCCAAGGGTCATAAAGAAGTGGCCGGGGCTAGTGATGTTAATGTGAGAAATTAGCATGTAACTGTAAGATAGAGCGGTCTCCTCGACTAGGGCACGGAAGTGGCCATGTTAATGCGAGAGATTAGCATGATGTTAATGTGAGAAATTAGCATGTAACCATAAGATAGGAGGAGAGTGGCCTCCTCGACAAGGGAGTTCAACCCAACGGGTGCAATCCAAAGGGCCTGTAAGTATGAGAGTGCAATCCAAAGGGCATGTGAGCATGAGAGTGCAATCCAAAAAGGCATGAGAGTGCAATGCCAAGAACATGTGAGCATGAGAGATTTAAGAGAGAGGCATAGAGAGAGAGAGACGGAAATAACAGCTGACATAGGCAGGTAGGATGGAAACATCACAGTCAGTTAAGACTCTACCTGGTTAATAACGTCCTTCCAATGATTGCCCAGAGAGACACAGCAGCAGACCATGCTTCAACCGAGAGGATGGGTACACTTTATTAATCCTACTCTCGCACCCGTTGTAGGCACTCCTATGACTGCCTTCCACTGCCACCACACACTCTGCTACCCGCTCTCACCTACTCCACACCTCACCCACTCTGAACCTCACCGACTCTCTCCCAGCTCGCCGCTGCCCTCTCCTACGCTGCCCCGGGCGGGGGGTTCAGCCAACATCCGCCCGGCGACGGCGTGAGGGGCGAGGTCCCCTTGACGGCTCGAGCGGCAGCGGCGAGAAGTCTTCTCCCTTGGTCCCCGGACAACTCCCTGAGCTCGCGCACACTCCCGCTTCGATACCCCTCCTCATTCCGAGTGCTCCCGTGCTCCCCACTCCAGCTGTCGCCTCCACGGCGCCTCTCGCACTCATGAATCCCGAATCATCGCCCCCATCTCCGGCGCCAACCTCCTGCCCCAGCGTGCACACCTGCTCGTCCTCAACTGCGCGCACTGCGTACATCTCTACTCCACACTAATATTAACGCATACTACGCTTGGAAAATGTTGTACTGTGCTATGCTTGCAGGCCTGGTTGATTGCTGATCTGCAAGCAATGGCTGTTTCTGTCTTCACATCAACGCAACTGCTGCTAATATGGCTCCATTTTCAACGTACATTATTTTAAATAAATCTTCACATTTGTCATCATCATCGTCGTTGCCGTCAGTGATGTTTAATCCACTGCTGGACAAAAGGCCTCCCCAAAATGTCACCATCCCTCACGATCCTCCGATGCACCAATCCACAGAGCCCCTTGCACACAATTGAATTGCTCCATCTCCTTCGTGGGCATTATCCCTCTCTCTAGGATGCGCTCCATCCCTTGGCTGCCACTGTCATTATTATTGTTGACCGTCAGTCGTCATCCCTTCCAGGGACGTAGAAGGGAAGTAATAAAATAATAAAAATAAAACATAATAAAATTATTCTCACGACGTTTCGGCCACAACAGCAAGCAGCCGTCCTCAGGTGAAAACCAGTCTGACTCTGTCGCCTCGACGGACCTGGTTTTCACCTGAGGACGGCTGCTTGCGTTGTGGCCGAAACGTCGTGAGAATAATTTTATTATGTTTTATTTTATTATTTTATTACTTCCCTTCTATGTGACTTTACCGAAAGAACCAATAAGAAGAGTTACAGTTGTGTCTTTTACCAGCGTACGTTCTCTCCAATCAGTGGACCATGGGCAAATGACCATGTCTGTTTAGTTCCCGGTCCTCTGGCAGTTCACCTGCATTGGTTCAAGCAAGCCTGGCTCTGCTGATGAGACCTTACATGTAAAAACCGGCCCGTAGGTTGGTGTTGAACCCATACTGCGGAAATGATGCATTAACAGAGGACCTTGCGGCCGATGGGACGAGTTATTTTTTTACATGTAGAATGACCTTTGCGAAGTAGGCATATTGTCAGCTTATTTATGTTGATATTTATATTCTCCACAACGAAGCTAATTATTTGTTTCTGTTATGTATGCGTGGTCTGTCATCTAAAACGTGGTCTGTCAACCCATTCTCTCGGCACCTCCAAGCTCACGCGATTGCGTCTCCGTCTGCCTTTGAGAAAAAAAGAAACCAGATGATTTTACTGTCGGCCTTTGCCGGCCACTTGAATGGCGGGTTAAAGGCATTCATTATTACCGCACGCCTGTCACCCCTTTGATGGCTTTCACGATTGCTGAACCGTAAGCTGGACAAAGGCGCGTGTAATGATGACTAACAAGCGAGCATTTATAGAACCAAAGATCCCCCATAGCGCCCATACAAACTGTTGGGGCGAGTGCTGTTAGTAAGCGCCTATTAGGGGCCATCCATTTAGTAGGTACGCAAAAATCTGTCAAAACTTGACCCCTCCCCCTCCCTGTATTTTTACACCCCCCCCCCCACCCCCGAATCCTATAGAACGGCCGATATTTTATTGACGCAGAAACGATCAAGGATGAATAATATTGACGTGTTTAAGCAAACGGATAGTTCACCGCCGGACTAACTCAATTGAAGGCCAATGTCGACAAATTGTTATCGAAGCTTCACCCCCCCCCCCCCGTTTCCTATGCGTACGTTGTCAGTAGACCCCCATACGCAAGCCACGCATTTGGGTTAACCCCCTCCATGCGTCCGTACTAAATGGAAGGCCCCTTATTCCGAACTGTAATAGTGCCATGCAAGTCGCACGTGGCTTGGGGCGAGCATGGCCTTTGATGTTTCCATCAACCCCACGTGTTGTCCACGTGTCTCCGTTTGCACCTGAATATCAGAACTGTCAATAACAGTAACCTTAACAGTTTACTCTACATCTCTGGCCTTCATGTGCTGTGGAGAAGGGTCATTGCCCGAAACGTCGCCTATTCTAAACGTTGAAAGGGACTGCAGCTGTGTTATTGACACGTGTTTGACGTCGCAGCTGGTGGTGACCTTGAAGTCACGTGGCGCGCGCCGAGCGCGTGACTCGATGTGCACGTGACGAGAACAGGAAGCGACGGTGGCAGCGGCACGTGGTGACCCATCAGCAGGGAGCCGCTGAAGGTTCAAGTCGCTGGGTAGGAGGAGCCCCCCACTAGGAGCCCCCCACTAGGAGGTTGGCTCCGCTGTGAGGCAGGCGGCCGCGACTCGTGTTGTACCGGCGACTCGGGGAGACTCGCCGGTGTCTCCTCCTCCTCCTGCGGCTGTCTACGCCGGGCGTGGTGGTAGCCGGACGGCCTTCATAGATGCTGGCTAGCAGCACTTAGCCCAGCAGCATGTTGTGGCTACAAGGGGGAGCTTTGTCGCGGTGTGTGTCACGTGTGTGGGGGGGGGGGTCTCGTAGTGTGGTGGTGTGTGTTGTTGCAGTGTTGTATGGTGGTGGTGTGTGTTGTTGCAGTATTGTATGGTGGTGGTGTGTGTTGTTGCAGTGTTGTATGGTGGTGTGTGTTGTTGCAGTGTTGTATGGTGGTGGTGTGTGTTGTTGCAGTGTTGTATGGTGGTGGTGTGTGTTGTTGCAGTGTTGTATGGTGGTGGTGTGTGTTGTTGCAGTGTTGTATGGTGGTGGTGTGTGTTGTTGCAGTGTTGTATGGTGGTGGTGTGTGTTGTTGCAGTGTTGTATGGTGGTGGTGGTGCTGTGTGTTGTGTGTATCGTGGGGTGAAAGTCGCCCTTGATATGTTGCACACACGAAGAGGAAGTCGCGATGCTTCGGAAAGCCCCGTGCGGTTCGCGGCGCAGCTTCCGGCATCTGCGCCGCGTGTCCCACCGCCGCCGTGTCCCCTCTCCCCACTCGCTCTGTCGCCTTTCGCCTCTCTTGCTGCTCCACTCCTCCACCCACCCTCGTCGTCTTCTCGCGCTGCGTGTCGCCCTCGTCGTGCGCCTGGTACAGCGTGCGGCTCCGTGCGAACCCCGACAGATGCATCGGGCAGTGGACGCGGGCCGGGTCTGTGACAAGGTTCCCATTCTGTGCGTGGAGTCACGCAAATGTGGATCGGTGGCGCAGTGGTCACTGTGCTACAAACCTGGTCGTCCGAGTTTGATTCCCGCTCACAGCCAAAATTGCTGACCAATATCTGAACCAGACCCAGCCCTCCTCGAGGTCGACTCAGCCTTAAATGAGGACTACTTGGTGCAGCGTGTTCACATCAGCACTGGGGAGACAAAGGAGGCTGGATGTGGAGTTTGCTACCCCCCCCCCCGTGCCGTGTCGGCCCTTAAAGATGCTCGCGAACAGCCCACGCCTTAAAACGTCTATCAAAGGCGCTACGATATTTGTACAGGAACTGCTCGAGAAGGGCTATAGCTGCTGGTGCTGTAAGCGTGCTCGCGAAACTGTGAAACTGTGAAACTGCCCGCAGGGTGACACTGGGACTGGGCTGGCGAGGCGATGACGATGATGCTGCTGCTGCTACTGCTGGGGGCAAGTGCGGGCGTGCTGGTGCTGGCGGCGCCTGTGGAGGATGAGATCTCCTACCTGCCCGGCCTGGCCAAGCAGCCGGCCTTCCGCCACTACTCGGGCTACCTCGACGCGTCCGGCACCAAGCGCCTGCACTACTGGTGAGTAGCAATCACTCATTCACCTGCACCACTGGTGAGTGAGTAGCAATCACTCATTCACCTGCACCACTGGTGAGTAGCAATCACTCATTCACCTGCACCACTGGTGAGTGAGTAGCAATCACTCATTCACCAGCACCTGCACCACTGGTGAGTGAGTAGCAATCACTCATTCACCTGCACCACTGGTGAGTGAGTAGCAATCACTCATTCACCTGCACCTGCACCACTGGCGAGTAGCAATCACTCATTCACCTGCACCACTGGTGAGTAGCAATCACTCATTCACCTGCACCACTGGTGAGTGAGTAGCAATCACTCATTCACCAGCACCTGCACCACTGGTGAGTAGCAATCACTCATTCACCTGCACCTGCACCACTGGTGAGTGAGTAGCAATCACTCATTCACCAGCACCACTGGTGAGTAGCAATCACTCATTCACCTGCACCACTGGTGAGTGAGTAGCAATCACTCATTCACCAGCACCACTGGTGAGTAGCAATCACTCATTCACCTGCACCACTGGTGAGTGAGTAGCAATCACTCATTCACCTGCACCACTGGTGAGTGAGTAGCAATCACTCATTCACCTGCACCTGCACCACTGGTGAGTGAGTAGCAATCACTCATTCACCAGCACCACTGGTGAGTAGCAATCACTCATTCACCTGCACCTGCACCACTGGTGAGTGAGTAGCAATCACTCATTCACCAGCACCTGCACTACGGTGCCAGGACACCACACTATCATCATAACCACCTTTGCTTATTATGAAGCAAATAGCAAAGCCAATTAGTTCACATTTTAAATGGTTTTTTTCACCAGGGGAGAACGCAAGAGAAGGGAAGCCTCATTTGCAAGAGTGGCCTGGGGTACCAACATGTCAAAAGCAATATAACATAGAGTGTCACAATGAAACAAATATAAATCAGAGCAATAATAAATACAAAACGCATTACAGAAGACATAAAATCTACTGCACAAACATAAATTACATTTTTAAAAATTCTGTAATGGAAATTGGCTTGGACAAATTGCTTTTCAAAGCGTTGATAGTACATACAATTGAGTTCAGCAAAGTGAAATGTAATTCTGATGATAAGTACACTCTTGTGTAGACAGACGAGGGTATTAGTCACCAGTAACGCCAGAGGCAGTAGAAGGTGGAGTGTGGTGCCATGTCTGTCGTTGGGTACTGACACCACTTTGCCATGCGTGTGCCAGGTTTGTGGAGTCTCAGGGTAACCCCTCCAAGGACCCCCTCGTGCTGTGGATGAACGGGGGCCCCGGCTGCAGCTCCCTGGAGGGGCTCATCACAGAGAACGGGCCCTACCTCGTGAGGCCTACACACTCGCACCGACCTGCACGGCCACCGCCGGGGAGAAATCACTCGAATGGATGTGTATGCTCACGATGCAAGCGTCGCATTGCAAGTGTAGCAATCAGTGCTTGGGGAATTACATGCATATGTATTGGGGAATTACATGCATATGTATTGGGGAATTACATGCATATGTATTGGGGAATTACATGCATATGTATTGGGGAATTACATGCATATGTATTGGGGAATTACATGCATATGTATTGGGGAATTACATGCATAAGTATTGGGGAATTACATGCATATGTATTGGGGAATTACATGCATACGTATTGGGGTTGCGTCATCTTGGCAGCCATTGGAGGCGCTGTGGATGCAGCCAACGCTGTGTGTACTGAGTGCAGTATTCCAGTAGGCCTGAGCCAGTGCTGCACCACACATGTTTTACATGAGGTAGAATGTGTTTTACTGGCCAATCACAACAAAGGAATCTTTACACCTGCATTTCTCACATCCACCTGTAATGCAAGTGCAGTTTTCCACGTTTTGGCTGTGTGTGGAGCCTTTCTTCACCAAGCTTTCGCACTTGAACGGAAAATTAGATTCAGCTATAATCATATATACTCTGTACAGGGTAGGTGTGTGTTTCTAATAATATAATAGTTTACAATTGTAAAATGTACGGGATAAATATATAAGTAAAAAATCCTGTCGGCAAATAAATGTCTTTATTTTCCCAGGTGCAGTCAGATGGAATCCACCTCGAATACAACCCATACTCCTGGAACATGGCGAGTACAACGCTTTACCATGCCCACAGTGCATTCGCCAGAGCCAGGGCACGAAACCCTAACTCAACATCAAGTTTCACAATAACATCAAGTACATGGAGCACTTGATCATAGAGCAGTCTTCAAATGAGCCAATTGATTTCTCCATGACTTGTGTTCACCTTGCATCACCGCATCCTCTTCCCGCTTCCCTCGTCCCCTTTGCCCAGATCTCCAGTGTGCTCTACCTTGAGGCCCCAGCCGGAGTGGGCTTCTCCTACTCGGCCGACAAGAACTACACGACCGGCGATGACCAGGTCCTGTCCCACTCAATCTCAATACCGAACGTCAACATTTTACGTCATCGTGCATTGCTCGTTATCAACGCTGCATCATGGCGGTGACACAGCCCAGTGGTTTTAATCCATAAGGCTACCCTGGTTAATACTACAAGTTTATGAACAAGTGACTGTGCGCAGTATACGTCACACGGGATGTTAAAGTTCCTTAGACATCAGTCGAGGATGAGTCGGCCATTGTGCATTGGTGTCATACTCGAAATTGGCCAAATTGAAAAACTACTCGAACATTAATTGGGAAATACAGTACATTGCAAACATCACCCCCTTTAAAACTTGGCAGGACCCTCCTTAAGACTCAAGAGTGTTGAGACTCGGTGAGGCTATCTGAGATAAACAATTGTAATATTAATGAACTCAATGTGTCAGTGCTGCCAAACTGCAAGATGCTGTACAAAAATTAGGTGAATCAAGGCCAGGGAAAGTACCAGGCTAAAGTGGCCAGAACCAGCGGCAGATGGTCGGATCCATAGATTTGGCAGCGAGACTGAGATGAAGACAGCACCCAGAGCAGACACGAGACCACCTACACGTTGTGAATGAGGCATCGCGGATCAAGGACCCAGCATCTATAATGTCCAGCGACCTGGCACCAACAATGTCCAGGGACGAACAAATCCAGAATCTCAATGCCGATGACTTCCGGTGCTGACAAGATCCGAAGCTGCCATGCCAATTGAGATCCGGGACAAACACCGGGAGCCAAATTCAATGAGCACCAGGCAGCATGAAGAAGAGGGCAGACAAGGGACAGGGCCAGAGATTCGGGAGAGCAAAACAAAAGAAAATGGGGGAAAAATGTATTAACATCGAAATCATGGGGAGGCAAAGGAATGGATTGGGAAAAGTGTTTGGTGAGATGGTGACGTCATTAAGTGCTCAACCTTCTCAACACAATGAGGAGTAAGAAGCGGGCACGGCCAAACAGTGGCCATCTTCCCAAACCTTACGTCACTCATCGTCAACGCAGTAAGAGTCGGTGTCGCCCAGATGCCAAGGCTGGCCTCACTCTTTGGCTCTGCTCTTCGTGAGCACTTCCCACAGCTCTCGTCCTGCATTGGCGTCCTCCTCTGCTCCCCGCTCACAGGTGTCCATGGACAACTACCTGGCGCTGAAGAGCTTCTTTGTAAAGTTCCCGGAGTGGAGCAAACACGACTTGTACCTGACGGGGGAGAGCTACGCGGGCTTCTACCTGCCCACCCTCGCCGTGCGCGTCATGGAGGATCCCAGCATCAACCTCAAGGTGAGGACGTGCACATGCTGGGGTTGGAGGGCACAGGGCAAGGGGCACGTGATGCAAGGAGTCTGGGGGATTTGAGGCCGAGCTGTAACTTCCCTGTGGGGGTAATAGGAAAGTGGAAGTATAAAGCAACACGTGCTATGTTGGCTAGCAACTCCATTCATTTTAAGAGAAATGGTGAGAATGATTGAATATGAAAAATCTATATATATAAAAGGGAAATTTGTGATTATGTGTGTTTGTTCAAAATATTTAACGTACTTCCCGACATGCAACAAACTTGAAATTTGCCATGTGGGTACTTTTCAGACTGTACACCATGCAAAAATTATAAAAATAGACTTTAGTATTTTTGGGGGGGGGGCTCAATAATGCATATATTTTTGCACAGCAAGTGAGCTGTGACGTCACATCTGTCACGTGACCCGCGCACGTGGAAGCGCAACGCATTGTAGTGTAGTGGTTAGCGCGCTGCGCTACGAACCCGGCGACCCGAGTTCGATTCCCGCTCACGGCCACCACCGGTGACGATTATTTGAACCGGTCCTGGGCCTCCCCTAGGTCGACTCAGCCTCAAACGAGTGCCTGGTGTGGTGTGTGAACATCACCACTGGGGAGACAAAGGCGGCCGGGCGTCGTGAATCCAAGTCCCGGCGAAGCCGTGTAGTAAAGCTAGTAAGAAATAAACACGAGACATATTTGCTCTATGAGTCGTGTGTGCTTTATCCAGGGACTGGCAATTGGGAATGGACTGAGCAGCATTGCTACGAATGACAACTCCGCCATCTACTTTGCTTACTACCACGGCATCTTTGGAGCAGAGTAAGTGATGCATCAATGTGTCATGTGTACTGAACATTTCTTTGTTTCTTCTGTGAATCGCTTACAACTGAGCTCACGGTCCCGTCTGGTGCCATCCCTCTCTCGCCACCCCCTCGGTGCCGCCATGCAGCCTGTGGGCCCTCTTGCAGCAGTACTGCTGCTCCCAGGGCAAGTGCGACTTCTCTTCTTCCGAGAGCAAGCAGTGCAACGATGCGGTACAGCATTGCACAAGGGAGTGTGCGTGCACCGAGTACCAACGCGTATCTGTCGTTATGTGCAGGCAAAGCTGTGGCTTTGTGTTAATGTCAGCTACGGCCGTGTGTTGATTTTGACACCGGTGTGTGATGGTCTTTGCCTCCCTTACAGGTACAGCAGGCGGCTCGCCACATCTTCCAGGGGGGCCTGGACCCCTACAACCTGTACGCACCATGTGCGGGCGGAGTCCGAGCTCCCAGGTCAGCTGCAGGCGCGCACCGACGGATTCCGATGTCGTGCAGTAAACATCTGCGTACCGCCAATCCGCCGCTTGCTCTCGCGGAAGCAGAGCTGTAGACCTCCGCCACGCTGCCCCTTGGTTTCTCACTGGGTTTGATTCCGGCTGTGCCTGCTATGACCCATTTTGCGAAGTGTTAACCCAACCACGTGAAGCCGCCACCAGGGCGACCGCACTTGTGAGGATTCAAAATCAAAGTGACATTCTGCTCAAATGAGCGCTGAGGCAGTGCTCATCTTCTGTTTCCAGCCCTGAGCCAGTGGTGGAAATTCAACATTCCCATGGTAGGAGTGTTGACTTCCCCACAAAGTGCTCCTCGTTTTATACAGCCTGGAAGGAGAGACGATGAGCTGCATCAACCCCAACGAAGATTTTAACGGCAACCTTCCCATTGCGAGCTGCTCGCTCCACAGCTCAGCATGTGGTGTTGTTGCTAATGGGAAGATTGCGAGCAACTGGGAGAATCAGAATCTTTATTTCGACTGGAGGAATCTGAGGAGCTATGAAGCTCTTTTTCACAGATGCCCAGTAGGGGTGGGTCAGAAGTTACAGAAACGAACAATACAAAAACCTATAGGAGTGCAAAGTACTGTATAGAAAAAGTATAGGAAAAAGTATATATATATTTCATGGGACCTCCTTTGCTAGTACCAAAATATGATAATAGGTTTTTCCCCTTTTTTCTGGCGTGGACCAATCAGTTTCAAGGACAATGCATATATTATCAGAGTATGTTTTGTGTTTGCATTCTGACCACAAGCATTGTGGTTAATGCAGACATGATTCCTTGTAAAAGGTTTCAGTTTGGTGTTTTAACATCTTAACACCTTGATTTGAAGCTTTCGTGACTGCAGGAATCCATCCTCTTTGGTTATTTCGGTAAAGTCACGTAGGTAGAAAAATAATAGATCACGACATTTCAATCGCAACACAAGCAATCGTCATCAGGTGGGACAACCACAGCAAGAAAAAAACTTGCTGTGTTTTGTTGCCAGAAAAAAGGGGAAAACCCTATTATATATATGTTCCTGCTGGTTTTTACAAACAATGCAAGTTTTGGCAAAGCTGCAAAACAATATCAACAACAGTCCCAGACCACCGTACCTCAATAAAATTGCACATTATAATTTAACTATCAATACATAGGTAAGGACCACGTTACAAATAACATCTTTTGAAAGTCTCAAGGGAGACCCAGGGTCATCGTGGTCGATGGGGACAATGACGGCCGTGGCGGTCGTTGTCGTTACAGGCAGAATGGCAGCAAGCCGCTCGGTGCAGATCCTCGCCGATCCTTGGTGTTGAGGAAGCACGGACTCCGACTCCACCAGCGAGTGATGGAGGTGAGGCCCCGATATCACGAGCAGAGCAAAGCGTCCAAGCGCAGGACCGTTGCGAGTCTGTGACGTTCCACTCTTGTTGTATTCTCCATTACCCTTGGTGAAAACACGACCGATACGTTTTTGTATATGAGCATAAGGAGATGTTTTGATATATCAGTTGATGTTTTTCGTCATTTGGTGACGTTGAAATTGTGTTTTAACTGTTGCTGCTGTGTTTTTGAGCACCATTACGTCCCAGTTCCCATAGCCACGTGTCACTGAAAAGCCGCCAACCCCCATGAGCACGTCGATGTGTAGCTTTCTAACCATGGCATTGTTGGAGAGGATGATGTGTGATGTGTTCTTGCGCTTTTGTTTTGGTCATGACACAAGTGTAAATTCTGCTCATTATTATTGCATTTGCTTTCCCAGAAAGCCCTAATGTAGCTGACTTGTTTAGGAAGGTCCAGCTAAGTTATTGCTGAATGGGGCTCACGATTGCTCTGTTTCCAAATTAAGCGTTTTGCAAGTAAATTTTCCTGTTTCCTTGAGGGATGTTGTTTGTCGTTTGTTGCATGCGGTTGTGGAAATTCAATGCGCAGCGTGGAGGCCTCAACAGCGACTCACCATGCACCAACACCAGCACCATGGCCTCGTACCTGAACAGCCCCTTGGTGAGGAAGGCGCTACACATCCCTGCAGTGCTACCGCCTTGGGAGGACTGCAGGTGACGAGGGGGACGCGGCGGAGACCCCGGGGGCCCATGGTGGAGGTGGAGGCGGGGCTTCTCGCAGAACAATCGAGCAGTGGATTAGGCGCTTTGGCAGTGTCCGGCAAGTGACAGGCAGCTGGTGAAATGTTTACCGTGCCATTGTATGGCCCGGTAATTTCCCTAATCCTGTTACATGTCACAGCCTCCTTTTCTGAAGTAAATCTGCACCGGTGCATTGTTGTGGCCAGGGCCATCTCTGACCATGGCAGCCACATATCGTGGCCAGCACCGTGGTAGCCTTGCCATTCCTACTGAAACATATCCAAAAATGCTTTGCAAAATATCTCAACTGAGCAATGAGACGGTGCTTATCTCATGTATATGGCCTTGAGCCAGTGGTGGAATTTCCTCACTCCTATAGCGGGGACAGGTCTGCCCATAAGCAAAACACGGATGACTTCCCCACAACATAGTACTTGTTTTTATCAACCCAGAGGGATGATGGGCTGATCAACCCCCAACCAGATTTGAACTCGCAACCTTCCAGTTGTGAGCCATTGTTCTACCTGGTAGATGGGGAACCAACAGTGCAAACCGTGAGAGATCGCGTCTGATCCTGAGAGTCACGGGGGAGCAGGTGGCCGGGTACACGGTTTGTGGGTATGCAGCGTGGAGACACAGCCTGCAGCGGGGGATGTAGACGCGCTTCATCGCGTCTTTGCGCTCACTCCCAGACTCATTGTGTCCACAGGCCCTGGCGGGGCGAGTTTACATTGTCGTCACATCGTGGCAATCCCCCCTCTCCTTAAGCCGTGGCGGTGCTTTTTTGAAATTGCCTCCCATTGTCTGGAAGCTCAAGTGCTGACAAGTCTGATGGGTTTCAACCTGTTTTTCACATTGAAGAGTTTTTAAAAACTCCCATTTATTTAAACAATTCCATCTTGAAAATGGGTGTGTGAGGCATTTCTGTGCTTGATCGTGATCAAGAGCTAAGAACTGTTGTTGAAGGGAAGTGCGCACTTCCCACGCGCGGTGTCTGAATTTATCAAGTGTCTTTGCGCTTCTTAGTCTCTGGCGTAATGTCACCTTTGCATCCACTGCAAATCTGTAATCGTGTTTACTTAGGCGCCTGGCTCCCGACCTGTGATTCACAGGCCACTGGCGTTCCACAAGTCAGTAAGGAGTGCTCCACGAAACATTAGTTTCACCAAACACCAAAATCCTTGACAGCAACTGTAGTTCACGCTGGTGTTGAGGATTCACAGTGTCCGTGGGTCCAGGGAGGTTGGGAACCACTGCTCTACGGCACCACCAAGACTGCGTTAAGTGCCTTTCTACGGTAGACGAGAGTGCATAGTGTGATGTTTACAGAAACGATGATGCCGTTAACAACTCTGACTGGTTATCTCCCTGCAGTGATTTTGTGAATCGTCACTTTGTGTGGCAATACGAGGACATGCGGAAACAGCATCTCCGGCTCCTGGGATCCCTGGTGAGGTTCTTTATTTGCCACTTGGACAAGACATGCGCTGCCTCAAGAATGCCTTGGTCTTACTTCTAATGAACACTTCCACTTTGATTGAACTCTACAGCTGAAGCAATTTTAATGTCCCATTTCATTGAGGGACGGTGTTTTGTCTTGGTGTGGTCTAGGACTGTTTTCGTTGTTTTGCTGCCTTGCCCATGCTTGCATTTAGTCTTGAAAACCCGGATAAATTTTTTTTTTATTATTTTTGTTATTTATATTTCGTGATTTAATAATGATTCAAATGTATATAGCGTAATTCATTCTAATAGCATCCCACAACGCTATAAAATAATTATATATCAGGATCAAATCCCATATACAGCCACTGCCAAGCAAGTGAAAAGCCTACTACCAAGCAAAATGAAACAAAAATAAAACAAGAATAAACATTAACCAAAAACAACCAAAAAGTTGTCACGACAAATAAATTATTCCATGAGGTCGTCTACACGTCCCAGACCACAATCCCAACTTCCCAACCAAGCCAGGAAACCTTCAAAGGAGGGTGGTGCAGTGCCTTTCTCTTTTTTGCTCTCCTATCATTGTTTTACTTTGTTGTACCTTGCTGACCAGTCCCTACTGGACATCTGTGAACAAGAACTCCATAGCTCATTGGATTCCTCCAGTCTAAATACAAGTTCTGATTCTGTGATGTGTCATTCACAGAAATACAGAATCCTCTTCTACAATGGGGACGTGGACATGGTCTGCAACTTCCTGGGGGAGGAGTGGTTCGTTGAGTCCTTGCAGCAGAAGGTGCTTCAGAGAGACTCCGACTCGTTCGTTGTATTGAAGCTGCCAGGCACCAAGTTGTGCACAAGCGTTGGGCCTCAGTTGAACAATGCTGCCCTCTCGTGGACGCGAAGCGTCACTGCTGCTATCACTTGATTCGCTCGCATGTCAAGAAATTGTGAGAGTTAACCACTGTTTAGATTATATTTTCTAGGTCTTGACCACTGCATTCACCACTGATCAGTCGCTACTACCAGGGTTACGTTTCCTGTGAACTTCACTCATTGATTCCTCCACCCATGTTGAGGACTGTCTACCAAGCTGTCTCATCCACACCGTACAACCACCACACTGCAGTTTGCAATGACACACTCATAATAACAACAAGAACGTCACCACGGCGCTTGTGCCATGCTAGGTGCACTTCGAGGCCACTTAACTCGCCACACTGCAGGTTAAATCACTTTTATCTTGCCGCTTCTTCCCTCACACTGCTCCACTTCGGAATTCCCACCTGTTTGTCTCTGCCCAAACTCTTATAACCCTACTCGGTTGAAGGAACGTGTTACTTGCTTTATTACATTTGATAGTCTGTTTGTTGCTGGTAGCTTGATGTGTTTTGGCCTTTGAGCCTATGCTCAACCACTTTACAGAAAACCCCATGGTCTTTAGCCAATCGTCCAGCCAGTATTGCATGTAATGATTGTTGGCCTGTTGAAACTGGTCTGTAAAACAAGATGTGAGCTTTAGTTTTATAGAGTCTTATTCTGCTCTTGGGCACATTTTAGTGGTAACAGTCATGATAATTACGTCTTCAGTTGTTTCCTATGATCAGATAATGAAGGTGACTGTTTCACACTCACGGCGACATGGGTGAACGCTGTGTGCATGGCCGGTGGTGTTAGGTGACCGTGGAGCGACGGCCTTGGCTCTACAAGGATGGGGGCAGCAACCAGATTGGTGGCTTCATCAAGGAGTTCCAAAACCTTGCCTTCCTCACCGTGCGGGTCAGGCTCACAAACACGCATCCTCTCTCCTCACACGCACACCTTGCATAGACAACACACGGTACTAATTCGTGTTGTTGTGGAGAATATAAGTAACACAATAAATAAGCAGAATATGGCTCTCTTTCCCATATCCATATCTGTCCCTCCACATGGTTACCTCCCATATCTCAGAGCGGGTCCTTGCCTTCAAACATCTGGCAGTTCACCAGAATTGCTTTAAGCAAACTTGACTCTGCTGTTGAGACTATGAATGTCAAAACGATACAGAGTTTGCTTTTATTAAATCAGTGCTGCAGGAAGAAGTCACTCTCATAAAGCAGTGTGACTGATGGAATGTGTCAAGAATCCGTTTACATTCATGTGGAGGGTTCTGACCTTGCAGAAAAGGAGGTGCATCGTTTGCTTGTCTATTTGGTTGCATATAGGACAGGTCACGATGTGATTTCCCACTGTTGAAGTAACTGGGGACAGTAGTCTGTGGGTGTGGCATTACCAGTGTTGCTTCTCCTCCCTGCGCTGTGCTCGGCAGGGTGCGGGCCACATGAGCCCGAAGGACAAGCCGCTGCAGGTCTTCACTGCATTCTCCCACTTCCTGCACAATCAGCCCTACTACTGAGGGGGGGAGCGGCGGCGGCGCTTCCTGCTGCTCTGTGGCCTGGCTTCTGGCTTCCTGTGCCATTTTTACTGCTTTTCTCCCATTAGTTGTAGCAGTCACAGATTTGCTCTGGTTCATGCATCGGTATGAGATTTTACTTTCTGAGCGTATGGTTATGAGCAGGGTAATTGTATAGTTCAGTTCTTATCTATAGGACTAATTACAACAGATTATAGAATTACAGCAGATTTTTGGATCAAACTAGGTGATGTGACGGGGTGGCTTTAAAGTGCTATTGTTTCTAAAATCTTCTGTTCAATAATCAACATTTTTAAAGTGACTTTTACGTTGTGTTGTGAGTGCGACAGTGTCGGGGTGCATTGTTGGTCATTGTGCCAAAATAAAATGATGAGACAGGGATACGAGGTCTACAGTTTTTTATTCCATCAGTTTGGGTAAAATGCTACAAGCACCAGTGAAACTGCCTAAAATCGCATGTTTTTCTATTGTGCAACTATTAGCTTGATGAGAAAGCAAATCTGCGTGTAAATGGATAATTCTCTGCATCAAACGTAACTGTCTCCTGTCGAATGTGTATAGGTATGACGCAGACTGCAGAATGGAAACTGCAGGAGAGCTTTGAATGTGTGCGGGGAATAGCAATGCGGGAACAAAACAGCGTCACATGTCATCGTGCGAACGCGCTTGCAGGCCAGCTCGATGCTTCTCAGTTCCTCCTATCCTCAACCCCGTGTCTACTTGCTAATGCGATGTTCTTTGAATCTCAGACATTGCCGTGGCTGTCCCCACAGCAACGTCTCCCAACCCGCTTGGCTGCCGTCTCACGCCCCCCTGTGGCCAGCCTCGCGCATCGCGCCACTTGTCGCCAAGTCCCCCGTGCACCAGTGGGGGGGGGGGTGGGGACCAGCAGGCGTCGCCACGCGCTGCAGGGCGGCGCGTCTCGCTGGGACCCGCAAGTCCACCCGGCACCCTCAAGTCCATCCCGGCACCCTCAAGTCCACCCCGGCACCCTCAAGTCCACCCCGGCACCCGCAAGTCCACCCCGGCACCCGCAAGTCCACCCCGGCACCCGCAAGTCCACCCCGGCACCCTCAAGTCCACCCCGGCACCCGCAAGTCCACCCGGCACCCGCAAGTCCACCCGGCACCCTCAAGTCCACCCCGGCACCCAGGCTGCCCGTGCTGTCACAAATCTCTCCCCCCCCCCCCCCCCCACACAACTCCCGCAACGCGAGTGGAGGAGAACGGTCGCCTTCCCATCCACCAGGGCCTCAAGGACGCCCCTCGTCATCGCTCCAAGTCCTGCAAAGCCCTTTTGGAGCCATGCGCGTCTCCTTCAACTACCCGACGCAGCTTGGAGGAGAGCTGAATGGAGTTCACGAGAGCTCGCAGACAGCGCCTGGTTGTGAAGGACCCAACGCAGGAGACCCCCCTGGGGTTGATCCTCCAGGAAGCTCGTGGTTCACCCTAAGCCGCATTCACTGCACACACCGTGGCAGGAGATGCGGATACCTGATGATGATGACGGCTCTTGTTGCTCGCAAATGTAAATCATGCGTTAGCAGTGGCATCTTCTATTACTCCTATAAAAATTAAAGTCTGTTTCGACTACAAATCAACACCGTTAAAGCTGTCGCCACCACACTTGGCAGGGTCACATTTTAAACCCCCGCGGAAAACCTTTTGCTACATGGCGAGCCAGCATTTAACATTCACATAATGACCCCCTCGTGAACACATTCACATAATGACCCCTTCGTGAACACATTCACATGATGACCCCCTCGTGAACACATTCACATAATGACCCCTCGTGAACATTCACATGACCCCTCGTGAACACATTCACATAATGACCCCCTCGTGAACACATTCACATAATGACCCCTCGTGAACACATTCACATAATGACCCCCTCGTGAACACATTCACATGATGACCCCTCGTGAACACATTCACATGATGACCCCCTCGTGAACACATTCAAATAATGACCCCTCGTGAACACATTCACATGATGACCCCTCGTGAACACATTCACATGATGACCCCCTCGTGAACACATTCACATAATGACCCCTCGTGAACACATTCACATGATGACCCCCTCGTGAACACATTCACATAATGACCCCTCGTGAACACATTCACATGATGACCCCTCGTGAACACATTCACATAATGACCCCCTCGTGAACACATTCACATGATGACCCCTCGTGAACACATTCACATGATGACCCCCTCGTGAACACATTCACATGATGACCCCCTCGTGAACACATTCACATGATGACCCCCTCGTGAACACATTCACACGATGACCCCCTCGTGAACACATTCACATGATGACCCCCTCGTGAACACATTCACATAATGACCCCTCGTGAACACATTCACATGATGACCCCCTCGTGAACACATTCACATAATGACCCCTCGTGAACACATTCACATGATGACCCCCTCGTGAACACATTCACATAATGACCCCTCGTGAACACATTCACATGATGACCCCTCGTGAACACATTCACATAATGACCCCCTCGTGAACACATTCACATGATGACCCCTCGTGAACACATTCACATGATGACCCCCTCGTGAACACATTCACATGATGACCCCCTCGTGAACACATTCACATGATGACCCCCTCGTGAACACATTCACACGATGACCCCCTCGTGAACACATTCACATGATGACCCCTCGTGAACACATTCACATAATGACCCCTCGTGAACACATTCACATGATGACCCCTCGTGAACACATTCACATAATGACCCCCTCGTGAACACATTCACATGATGACCCCTCGTGAACACATTCACATGATGACCCCCTCGTGAACACATTCACATGATGACCCCTCGTGAACACATTCACATAATGACCCCCTCGTGAACACATTCACATGATGACCCCTCGTGAACACATTCACATGATGACCCCCTCGTGAACACATTCACATGATGACCCCCTCGTGAACACATTCACACGATGACCCCCTCGTGAACACATTCACATGATGACCCCCTCGTGAACACATTCACATGATGACCCCCTCGTGAACACATTCACATAATGACCCCCTCGTGAACACATTCACATGACCCCCTCGTGAACACATTCACATGACCCCCTCGTGAACACATTCACATGATGACCCCTCGTGAACACATTCACATGATGACCCCCTCGTGAACACATTCACATAATGACCCCCTCGTGAACACATTCACATGATGACCCCCTCGTGAACACATTCACATGATGACCCCCTCGTGAACACATTCACATAATGACCCCCTCGTGAACACATTCACATAATGACCCCCTCGTGAACACATTCACATAATGACCCCCTCGTGAACACATTCACATGATGACCCCTCGTGAACACATTCACATGATGACCCCCTCGTGAACACATTCACATAATGACCCCCTCGTGAACACATTCACATGATGACCCCTCGTGAACACATTCACACGATGACCCCCTCGTGAACACATTCACATGATGACCCCCTCGTGAACACATTCACATGATGACCCCCTCGTGAACACATTCACATGATGACCCCCTCGTGAACACATTCACATAATGACCCCTCGTGAACACATTCACATGATGACCCCCTCGTGAACACATTCACATGATGACCCCCTCGTGAACACATTCACATGATGACCCCCTCGTGAACACATTCACATAATGACCCCTCGTGAACACATTCACAAGATGACCCCTCGTGAACACATTCACACGATGACCCCCTCGTGAACACATTCACATGATGACCCCTCGTGAACACGTTCACATAATGACCCCCTCGTGAACACATTCACATAATGACCCCTCGTGAACACATTCACAAGATGACCCCCTCGTGAACACATTCACATGATGACCCCTCGTGAACACGTTCACATAATGACCCCCTCGTGAACACATTCACATGATGACCCCCTCGTGAACACATTCACATGATGACCCCTCGTGAACACGTTCACATAATGACCCCCTCGTGAATACATTCACAAGATGACCCCCTCGTGAACACATTCACATGATGACCCCTCGTGAACACGTTCACATAATGACCCCCTCGTGAACACATTCACATGATGACCCCTCGTGAACACATTCACACGATGACCCCCTCGTGAACACATTCACATGATGACCCCTCGTGAACACGTTCACATAATGACCCCCTCGTGAACACATTCACATGATGACCCCCTCGTGAACGCATTCACTACAGGAACACGTGGCACGGCTACATCTTGACAGATGCTGTAACGCCTTTGACCCCCTCCTGAATACAGTGATTGAGCCACTCTACATTCACAAAATATAGCCGCAAGTACCCGGGCAACGCCGGTGATTTCCTGCTAGTACAGTATACGCGCGTACATAACATGCAAACGAGCGTGTTGTGCATTATTAAACTGCGTATACGCGTATGCACTATGAAATAAAATTACATATACGCGTGCACATTATGAAATATAACGCTCTGTACGCGTTCACACTATGAAATAAACAGTATAGGCGTGTGCATAACGAAATCTAACGTATACGTGTACGCATTGCGAAATATAATGCCACATACGCGTCTACGTTATGAAATATAACGCTCTATACGCGTATGCACTATGAAATCTTACGCTATATACGATATGCACTATGAAATACAATGCGTTATGCGTGTGTGTATTATGAAATATAACTGCGGGGTGGCGCGAGCACGTGTGTGGGCGGTGACGTCACGCGGCTTGCATCAGCCGCGTGACGTCACTGGGGAGGAGAGCGCAGCGACCAGACCCCTCACAGCGAGACCCTCACAGCGTCTACATCACAGCCTCTACCACAGTCTCTACATCACAGTCTCTACCACAGTCTCTACATCACAGTCTCTACATCACAGCGTCTACATCACAGCCTCTACCACAGTCTCTACATCACAGCCTCTACCACAGCCTCTACATCACAGCCTCTACATCACAGCGTCTACCACAGTCTCTACATCACAGCGTCTACATCACAGCCTCTACATCACAGTCTCTACATCACAGCGTCTACCACAGCCTCTACATCACAGTCTCTACCACAGCGTCTCCCTCACAGCGAGACCCTCGCCGCGTCTCCATCGGCCCCGCGTCTGCGCCTCGTGCCGAGTCCACGCGGCGCCCTCTCGGTGAGGAGGAGGAGGAGGCGCCATTCATTCTCGAGCTGCGAGCTGCTGATGGCGCGGATGTGCTGCGTGCGATGGGAGTGGTGGTTGTTGTTGATGGGCCTTGTCGAGTCGATGCCGTGTGTTGATGTTCCCCGTGTCGTCGTATTCGTGAGCCGTGCGTGTTGCAGGGCCTCCTCTGTAGACGAC